ACCTGTTTCCCTTTCTTCCCATAGTTTTTTAGGATTGAAGATACGTTAATGTATTTGCTGAAGACAGTTCCCACACTCTGCACTGCTAGCCTTACTACTTCCTTCACCATTTCCTACGTCATAGACCTGTTTCCTTCCCTTCTCATAGCATTTTAGGATTGAAGATACATTAATCTAACTGCCACAGACGGTTCTCACACTGTGCTCATACTTTACTACTTCCTAAGCCACTTCCTACGTCATGGACCTGTTTTCATCACTTTCAATAGCATTTTAGTATTTTAGATACGTTAATCTAATTGCCACAAACATTCCCCACACTCCGCACTGCTAGCCTACTACTTCTTTTACCATTTCCTATGTCGTGGGCATGCTTCCATTCCTTCTCATAGCATTTCAGCATTGCAGATACATTAATCTAACTGCTACAAACGGTTTCCAGATCCCACACTCCACACTGCTCACCTTACTACTTCCTTCACCACTTCCTACGTCACGGCCCTATTTCCCTCCCTTTCCATAGCATTTTATAATTGCATATACCTTAATCTAATCGTCGTGAACAATTTCCACACTCCAGACAGCTCGCCTTGACTACTTCCTTCACCACTTCCTACGTTGCGGGACTGTTTTCCTCCCTTCCCATAGAATTTTAGGAATGCAGATAACTTAATCTAATCGTCATAAACAATTTCCATACTCCGGACTGCTCGCCTTTACTACTTCCTTCACCACTTTCTACGGTGTCGCGGACCTGTTTTCCTCCCTTCCCATAGCATCATAGATTGCACATACTTTAATCTAATTGTCACAAACAGTTCCCACAGTCCGGACTGCTTACCTTTACTACTTCCTTCACCACTTTCTACGTCACGGACCTGTTTCCCTCCCTTCCCATAGCATCATAGGATTGCAAATACCTTAATATAATGGTCATAAACATATCCCACACCCCGAACAGCTCGCCTTTACAACTTATTTCACCACTTCGGCACTTCCTACGTCACGGACCTGTTTCCTTCCCTTCCAATAGCATTTTAGGATTGCAGATACCTTAATATAATCGTCATAAACAGTTTCCACACTCCAGACTGCTCACCTTTACTACTTCCTTCACCACTTCCTACGTCATGGACCTCAAGCTAGTGTCGTCATTTGATTATATTTATGATCCATACGGTTTCTGTTCTAATATCTGTGGAATAATGCTATCAGCTATTTCTTTATCTACTGCATTCAAAAGTCAACAGCTGATATCATATGTCTTTGTTTATGTGTCAAATACTGCTTCCATAAGGATTACATTGAAATTTGAGACCCAGTGGGGCGGATTCCTGAGAGACTTTTTTAACGCCATATAGATGTTGCTCACCGGTATGGTCTGTATCACCATGCAAAATTTGAAAACGATTGATTCAGCCGTCTAGGAGGAGTTTGCGTATTACGAAATGCATAAGAGTCGACGTATAAGAGCTTCGCTCGCTCCGCTCAATGAGTAGTTTTTTTTTTCTCTGAAAATGTATCAATTGGCCATTACCATCCTCAGGGTTAAAAAATACAATTTTTATCCCGCACGCGGGTCAAATGCTTAAACACTGCCGGATCAGCTGAGCTAGGAGGTGGACGGGCGGGGGCGGGGATAGGTGCATTGTCCATTGTTGATAAGGTTCTCTCTTTATTTTTGAAATCTCAGGACTTCTTGTTAGGAAAATGTCTAATTCAAAATTGGGCTACAACTATGGAATTTATAAAGGTAGTAAATTTAAAAAATATTACTTTTGTAACATGCAATATTACAATAGCAAGGAAATAGCTGTTGTATTCCACTCAATAACAGACTAAGTCACAATTCACACAAAAGTGTATAAGCACCTTTTCAAAGACAAGTACATTACAAAAGCCCACCGTACACACAATAGGGTTCAAATTTTGACCTTGATGACTACATTCAACGCGGTTTAGCTCAACGATCGTAGAGCGCTCATTTACTTTTTTTTTAATCTTAGTAGTTGAATCAGAGGGTTTCATTGCCCAACACATGTGTTAAACTATCCAAAGATTTCTAATTTTGGTAGCAGTTTGTCAAGAATTTTTAGTAGGCCTAGGCCTATAAAATGTTCAACACCTCAGCAGGCCTATCTCAGTATGTAGTAGACTGTTGTTGCTAACCAAGTGTGTGTGTGTGTAGGGCACCACCCCAGGCCAGTACGCCAGCATGGCCATTATCAGTGACGGCAGTTACGGAGTCCCAGCCGACATCATGTACAGCTTTCCAGTTACTGTCAAGGACAAGAAGTGGACCATTGTTCAGGTATGAGGTATTGTGAATGCTCCATTTTAAAATTGCTCACCAGAAATCAACACAATGAACGTCCACTGGGAATAGTTCGAGGGAATATTAAAGTCTATGAGTTGAATAAGTTCATCATCTGTCTTTGCATAAAATAGCCCAGTTGATTCAGTAGTTTTTCCATTTACAGGGAAAAACAACTTCCCAGACAAAATCCATCTCTACTTAATAACAATAATAGTTGATAGCCTATTTATTTATAAAAAAAAAGAGATAGGTGGCATCTTTAACCTTGTCCACATAGGCCTCTGGTCTGTGTGTAAAACACATTAAGCAAAGCAAGGGGCTAGTCGGTACTGTATAAAAATTAATTACACTGATAAATATTAGTTGCAACACTAAGAAACGAAGCAAAAATGCTGCCTTGGATTTGTAGACTTGTCTCGCTAACAACTAAGCCAGAAACTAATATTATACATTTTTGACTCTTTCTTTCCTAAAACTTTAAATGTATTTTCACTGTTTAGGGCCTGCCAATCAATGAGTTTGCCCGTAGCAAGATGGACCTGACTGCGAAGGAGCTGCTGGAAGAGAGAGAGGAAGCTTTGGCGGTCTGCTCCCACTGACGGGGCCCCCCTCCCTCCAACACCCCCTCCCCAACTCCCACCACCGCCTGCAAACTGTAGACCACACATTGTACCTAGCGACAATAAACTGCAGTTCGTCACATCTGGTGTCATTTGTACATTTTCTACATCCGGGATGTGTAAAATGTAAGTGGAAAGTAGATTCGATGTGGTAGAAAATCAATTCAAATCAGTTATAATTTTAATTATAAACGCTTAAATATATGTGGTATTGAAGTTCAGTTTTGTGTTATGCTTGTCTATCCGAATCAGGTCTAAGTGTATCAAACCACCATAGTTGAGGGGATTACAAAATAATGTTGAGAGGGAGGTTCGACAATTTTGTAAAATAGTATTCCTATTTTGAAATGTAAATATATTTGACTGTATTTTTGAATTTTAGTTTCTTACAAATATTCAGTTTGTTTTTTTAAAATGTGTGAAGTGACGGATGTACTACGACCAAAAATAAGTGTTGAAATACTTTTAATCAATGCTACAAAACACTAAAATATCCTTTCAGTGCCTTACCAGTCTTTGACTGTTTTACTAACCATCCTGATTGTAATATTTCAAATTTCTGTTCAATTATCTTCAATAGAAATACTTTTCATTACTAATTGTTATTTATGTAAATTGAGTGTGGTGGTGGTGGTTCGAGTGCATGCTATGGTGGAGGTGTTTTTTTATTTGAAGACTAACACCATTTTATACTTATCGGTGTGACTTACAAAACAGATTTTCGTTTATTAGAACAAATAAGTTATAATTATGTTCAATTATGTGTTGTTAAATTTAAGATGAAATATATGTGGTCCTCAGAATGTAATACTGTATGCAAATATATGGTTACTGTTTTCAAAAATGTCTTCTTTTACTGTCTACAAATGTATTTCTCATCCTCGGAGAATTCGGACAGCTGGATCTCCCCTTGGTCAGGCGACTGTCCCCCTTCCCTCACCTCCCCTGAAGGTATCTCCTCTTCCCCACTATCTAGACGTGACATCTCCCCGGCGTTATATAATTCAATATCTGAACCGCTTAAACTCCTAGTATTGTATGCAGTGACTTTGTTGATAACTATTTTACCATACTTTCCCACTGGTTGAAAATACAAAATCTTAATAATTTTTAACAAGTTTTTTCGTGGATAAGTAAAAGCAAAATGCCTGATTTGATGTGAAAATCATAAAGTATCCACCTATTCTGTCTACTTAAACTTGTCCCCATTTATTCAGGTGGGCACTCTACCACAGGTAGTTAACTTCTCATGAGTTGGAGCTGTACACCATACTTGACTGGTATGTGAGTCAAACTCCTAAATACTCAGAGTTGTCTCCTTGCTGGCAACTCTTTAATTGAATCGGCGATTATTCCTAATGGTCCACTGTTTTAACAACACTTGTCAACCAAAAGCCCGGATAGTAGAAACTAGACTCCCAAATATAGCTTTCAGAATTTTTTGGCAAAATTATATATAGTGGAAGTTTGACATGTTAGTCTTGGATCAGATATTGACAAAAAATCAAAATTTGTAAATTGTGTTTTTGGAGGAATACGTTAAAGAAGGAAAGAATATTTATTCCTAATCCAGATATAGAACTGGGTCTTGTAACTGTTCTTTAAAGTCTTTATGAAGAAACCCAGGAAAATTATGTGTTGTAAATTTGATCTGTGCTCTCCAATTTTTGAAACTCTTAACTTGGTGCATTATTTGTTTTTTAAGTTCTTTGTACCGTAATATTTTGCATCGGATGGATCTTCAGTTTCTTTTCAGATACTGACGAGACTGTTCAATAATAGTAGACCTATGTGAAATGTATTGTGAAGCTAAAAGGATAGCTTACAGTACATTTTAAAAGTATTAAAAAATAACAACAATTTCTAAGAATATTGTATGTAACCCAAAGACTTTTTAAAGACACGTTTTCTCATTATTTTGCAAATTTTGAGATTCTAATGCATACCTAAAACTCAAGTATTAATTACTTTTTTTGTTATTTTTACACTTTTAAAATGAGTTAATGCAAAAAAATGTTTAAAAGCAAAATAGTATTTGGGTTAAGGTTATAAAAATAGGCGGATTACCTCTTTAAATTACCTTAGTTTTTTATTTGTATTTCAATAAAATGCCCTAGGGTACATTTATATCACATTCAAGTTCTTTGGTGTAAAAAATACATAACTTCTGTATTTTTTATGTAACATTTTTAAACCATCTGATTAGAGGAAGGAATTCAATTAGAACGGGCGCTTGGAAAAAATAAGAAAAACTAATCAACTTAAACCATTTAACAAAAACTTGCCGGTATGAAGATTCAAGTCAATACTTTAAACAATAATAAATTATTGTACCGCTACATTAATTATGAAAATTAAATAAATATTTTTGGTTAATTGACTTTTTGAATTATGAATTGACTAATCTCCTTTGTATAATACTCTTATGATTGAGTTTTGCTTAAAACTCATTCGTTCAAATCACAGAGGAATCCACCCACAGTGGAAAACACATGCACAATGCTCACACGTGGTAAAAACTAGTTTGTAAATACCGTAAAGAATGTTTAAATGTTGCGGTGCTACATGGAAAAACACTGGAATATAGGACAATCTAGCATAAAACATACAGTATTGGTTCGGGACTGTAGTTACAGTAGACCCCCTCTTAACCGACCCTAATGGGACCGGACCTAGGTAGGATAACTCAAAAGGTCTGTTAAAACGGGCAATGCCTAAAATCATAACATAATTAAGTGTTATTAATTTTGAATTATATAATCATTATTTTGAAGTCATACTTCTAATATTTATAAAATAAACTACTCTTATCTCCTTTTTTTCCTATTGATAGAAAAGTCATAAATAAACACTAAACACCGTTAAGTCAAATAGGCCTACTTTAAGTGGAATAGATTATAGTACTAGGCAAGAGTCAATAAAAATTCCTATTTTAATAACTTAAGTTCTAACCCCCCTTCCCTGCCCTCCGTACAAGTTGCATTGTTTGTTTACTCTAGCGATAAGATAATCAGTTCTCAAAATTGAACGCACTTTACGATTTTATAAATTTGCCGCACAGATAACAAATCAGATCAGGATGTGCTCGCACTATAAACGATGATGACAAACTGACAATATGCTATATTTTTTGTGATCAATGCAAAATAATTTATTCTTAGTCACATCCTGTGGAGATAAGCGTATGGTTCGGTTCTCATCGCCCAGCGTGGGAGCGGATATGCCGAGATTCCTAGAAAGCGGCGGTTAAGCCGAACTGCTCTCAAAGCAAGGTCGGTTAAAACAAACTGTGATATTTTACGATGGAAGGCGGATAATCCGATTATCGGTTAATACGAGGTCGGTTAAGAGAGGGTCTACTGTATCATTTAAAGTAGGGTCCTTTAATGCCTGCATTTAATGGATACAAACAGTGTATAATTGGACATGCATAAATGCTTTGTTACTAATATGTGTGGTTTGAAACACCGGGTTTTGTTCACCAGAAAACGTAAGTGTTAAAGAACTCTAAGAAGAAATACAGAGATTCACGCCCCTGAAATATCTGTCTAATTATAATAATTCAATAGTTTTTATCATTAAAATCTTGGCAAACTCAAAGAGGCCATAACGACAATATTTCATTGAGAGACAGTATTTGTACTTGAACAAATACTGCTTTTGTGTATACAATGAACAGTTTATATAACATTAACCTCTGTGTCCCATTCAAAATGCATAATCGATACTCTATGCAACAAACCAACTTTGTTAAGTTTTAAGTTACATCGTTGTCTGTAAAAGGATTTACAGTCAACGGTTACATGTTGGATTAGATATCAACGACTTTAAGCTAGTAAAATATGAGCAAAAGCCCAGAGTATGAGTAGGTATAGTATAAAAATAACATATTTCAACTTACTGTAAATTCTCACTTCAACTCTAAGGTACACTTCATAACAGTAAACATTTTCAGCAAAATGTTTAGGCCTGCAGAACAATAGATTTGTATTCTAAAGAGTTTTAATTTAAAAGTTAAAAACCCTTAACAAAATTCACCAGAAAATATAGTATTCTCAATTTTTAAATATTAAAGCGATACCAATCAATAATAAGTGTTTGAAACATTAATATGAGTTATCACATCAGTTGTGCAATGCAGTAAAATTGTTAAAAATCATCTAAAAAACAGTTAGAAATTACTATTGTACGGTTTGTCTTTTAAGTATACAAAAAAACTACGTTAAAAATGTGTTCCCAATGTTCCCTTATATACACTAATAAAAAATACATTTTAATAATAATACATTTCAAAAATAAGCTGTCTTATTGTGTAATAGTTGTGCTGCTCCTATCCTAAACCTAACCTAACATCACAGAAATCAACCCTCGTCAACCCATCAGATGTTTCATGCTTCCAATGAGTCATCTACTTTTACGTGACCATTTTTTGGTATTTTCAAATCCGCCGCACATGAGAAAGCGCTTCCATAGCAATGTGTATTCTCTTCGTCCTGTAAAAGAAAATTAGTGTTTTTAGTATATGTTTAAACTGAATCAAAAACTCATTGGTACTATTTAATTGTAAAGTTAGCAAGTTGACAAAATGTAAAAACAATACTTTAAATAAAAAATATTTTTGTAAAAAAAAATCCAATTAAAGTTACAATACAACCGTCTTTACTTACATCAAAGTTTTCACTGAGCTCCTTTTTAGACAAACTTTCTATCACCGCACAAGCATAACAGTCGCCAAGTAGATTATTTGTTGTCCTCATCCTGTCTCTATAAACAATTCATAACAAAAAGGGTACTCAAATAGAAAATTCAATGAAATAGATAGGTACACAATAGCTTATAAAAACAGTTAATTTCAAACATCATTTCTTGAATTTGTTAGTTTGAGACATAATAAAGGCATGCATTATGGGGAGAAGAAAAGAAAGGTTAAAAGAAGTTCTTTTACTCCTCGGCCAAAAAAGAATCATCTGTAGTCAAAGTCATCAGCTGTCCTTTTTTCAAAATTTAAAATTCACTGATTTTGCCATAGAAAGTATTCACAGTTGACAAAAGTATTATTGCATCGTTATGAAAAATCTTTTATGATCATCGTGTCACATTGTATCAAAATTCAAACCGATTTGATAAATTTGAATTAATTTTTTTTGTCAGTGGAGTAATAGGAGTTGCTTCTAAATAACCGCAACAGTTGTTCATAATACATATATAATGTATAATCTATATATTTAATACGCGACATGAAACTTTGTGAACAAGAAGCCTTTTTTGTTTTAAGATTTAACCCCACATATTATATACTAAAATGTTCGTCTAGGTGTGTAGATGTGCAAACTGGCTTTAGATTTTCAAAATAAATCTTTATAAGAGCGTGGGCTGCCCTCAATTTCCTTCATTAAGGATAACATTGTGATTGATTTGAATGTTATTATATCCTGAAACAGATGTCAATACATTAGTTTAGAGAAAAATTAAATCCCAGCTGTTTTGTTTGGTTTTGAAATGTAAATAGTTTGCATGTTTTTAAAAGTAATTAGAAACCCAGCAAAGAAATGTTACCTATAGGACACAACGGAAGAACATTTACGTTATATTTTCGTTTAAACATGCCAAGGACCCGACGACAAAGAAATATTGCCGGTCGGACACGACGAGTCAACATATGGCAAGCAATACAAAACGTAAGGAGGAGGAGCTTGAGCAGTTAGTGGCAACGTGTGCTTACAAAATTGCACTTACAAATGCAAGAATTCAGCAGCATTCACTTGACGAGATGGCATTAAAATGTCAGTGGTGCGCTACATTTTAAAGAAGAACAAAGAGGACGAGGCGAAGGATTTTCATCCTGCTGCCATAAAGTAATTTAATGGAGCAAATCATTTGAGGAGAAACTACAAAGAGAACATTAGATCGTACAACTCTGCGCTCCCAATGGTCAGCACTTGAGCTAAAATTGAAGAACATAACGATGGAGAGCCTTTCATGTATAAGGTGCACGACACAATGTATCACCTAATTGGCACCTTTCAACCGTCAGAAGGGGAGCATCCCACATATGCCCAAGCTTATATCTACGGACCTCCAAAACTACTGAACCGATTGACATGTTTTTGGTGTCATTGGAAAGAGCGTAACATGAAGTTGTGCAGGAAACTTTCTTTTTAGGGAAATTATTAGAGAGTGAGGCCCTGGGCCCTTTAAAGTTTTGTATTTCTCCATAAGATTAAGATGGGAAACATAGTTATGAAACTCCAGCTGTTGTCAGAAATTAAAAGTGAGAAGTAGAACATAATAAAATTTTAATTGTAAAATTGTGACAGAGAGGTTATGCAGAAAATCAGGTAGGTATCAGGTTGTTTGGTGCTATTAAAATAAAGACTTAAATTTGTAAACGTACTGGCGACAATGGGTAATACCATGCAGACTACATTATCATTGACAAAGACCAACATGGACAACCTATTGCAGCTATAAGTGGGAAACATTTCTACAATACACTAAAAGCCATATCAGCTTTTGAAAAATGATAAAATATTTACAAGAAATGTTGATTATATTGAACTCTTAAGTACATTGTGATTATTATCATTAATTACGTAATCTTTGAGTTGACTCTTTTAAACTCATAGGAATTTATGACTTATATTTTTTCTTAAATAAGTTATTTGTTTTTAATAACTCATTGACTTCTTTGCCATTGATCTATTTCGAGCAACATGTACACTAGTTAATACTTATGAAGTCAAATGGGGTGAAGCCCGTGGGTAACAGCTAGTATGTATAATAGCAAAACAAGATGTTAATGATTTTGTGGGCTTACTTACAATCGTAAATAATGTAGGAAATTATCCTTTTGTGATTAGCGTAAATAATGGTGCAGAAAAGCCAAACTGTCTATCACACCAGCCAGAAGAAGTGCTGTACCAACCCTTGCTCATTTTCCAACCCCATACTGGCTAGTTGTTTCAAGCTTGTGTCAAAACGAGTCACTTCCCAAGTCAGTACAATAATCATACATTATACCACTTACACAAACCAATCAACGGCAAAGAGCAGAGAAACGTCTTCAGTAGGAGCGTTGACCGTGGAACACAACATCAATACCAGGACGAGGGCGGCTGAGGGGACCGTGGCACTAGACATGGAGGCTGCAGTACATGATAACCTGCAAGGACAGGATAAGCGGACAAATATAACAAAACAAAAACATATTTGTGGGCATGACTTAATAAAACAGATGTTTTAAGTAGTTGGAAGTCACTATTAAACACAGCTGACTAACGTTTACAAAAAGGTTTCAAAATTACTTTGCAGGATTTGGAGAAATAAGTTGGAGTCAGATATAATAAAGTTTAGTTGATGGCTGAACCAACAGCAAGACAAACTGTAATCCAAGGCATCGATGTAACTTAAAATCACAACTCATTTTCACTGTAACGGGCTACCCACACTTTCCAGAAACGTTCCAAGCAGGCCACAGTGCCGATTTAGTTAATGGGCCTGGACCCAGGGAGGCAAGTCTTAGATTTTTTGGGGGCGTTCGGAAGAGTAAAATTCCTCTACGAGGAAGGTAGCGCAATTGTCTCACAGGCATACAGCGCATAAAATGCAAACCACGGGTCAAGGTCCAATGCCAAGCGAAAATTCAAGGCCACCAACATCTTTTCCACATAAAAATATATAAAAAAAAGAAGTCTTACCCTAGTGTTAGGAGGTCTCCCACAGTGAGTGCGATGTTGTTGATTTGTGCCAGAAAGCAGACAGACACACTAAGGAACAGAGCAGTTCCATCCATGTTGATGGTTCCGATGGGAAGAATGAACTTGGAGATGCGAGAATCTACCTTGAGTCTTTCATCCAATAGTTTGAAGGCCACTGGAAATGCAGCGGCTCTAGCACAACAAACCAATGTTTCGTTTAATTTAAAACATTGACTTTTTGATACTGAAGTACTACACAATACTGAAACACAAAACTTAAATTCACACTGACTGAAGTCTATATATACCGGCTTTAGCCAAGGCCACACTAAAAAAAACAGGCTGTAATACTCGTCAAGCATGACGTCACGATCGAAGACGGCAATGACGTATTGTTTGCCTTTTGTGATCAGCTACATGTTTTAATCTTTCCTTGGAAAATAAATAAATAAATACCTACGTCATTGCCGTCTTCTATCGTGACGTCATGCTTGACGAGCATTACAGCCTGTTTTTTTAGTGTGGCTTTGCTTTAGCCAATAATAAAAGAACAGTTGAAATTTTTCATAAAGTGTGTTACTGTATAAAACCCTTTTCTTTCTATTAATTTTTGTCACTGAGATGGTTAAAGAGAAGTAAAAGATTACATCAAAAACTGAAGCTATGTGGTACATTTCCAATATTGGAAATGGTTTACAGTTAGTTCTTCCTTCTTGCGGTGGATTTTTTTCAGTAAAGTGAGCAAAGCAAACCCTTGTAAAATGAGAACCATACAGGCTGGTGTTGTCTGTAAAAAAATCACTTTTTCAACCTTTTTTAACATTTATCAAGCTTCTTTTATTGTTGTTTTCTGTTTTCATAATGCACATAAAGCTGTTACAATAGACTCCCTCTTATCCAGACTCCAGTATGATCAATATTTTTGGGCATCACTCACCTTATTGAAATCAGGAGAACACAGTCCTTGTCATATCACAGTTAATTGCACATACACATTGATAAAAATACAAAAATAAAAATAAAACTTAATACATAATTACAGACTAAAGTTCTCATCTCCGACGTTTCGCCACACCAATAAAAACGTGCAGCGTTTTCAAGGTTTTTTCTATTCACGTAAACGTTGTGAGCGCCTAACCACGACTGACGACCCCGGTTGTGGAGGAGTGGGAAGGGGAGGGGAGGATCTGTTATCTCGATCAGCTGTTGGCATTATCTTCTTTTGTTTTGATTTTTCAATGCATCCTTTAATTTCTTTCTTTTTTAACGTATTGTAAACAGAGCTGATGTCAATGGATGCGTTGGCTAATGAATCTTATCCGGGTTTTCCGGTTAAACTGACCTCCCCAAAACCTCGTTAAAACGGACCGTTTAAGTGCATACTGTATACAGTATTTGACTTAAATTTAGGAGAGCATTGTATTTAGACACGTGATCTCTGGTCTCAAATCTTTCCCACGAGAACAGTCGTTTCAATAGTGTACCGGGCACTTCCTTCCGCTCTAGTCCGGTTAAACCGTTGTGCTGATAAAAATTGTCCGGTTAAAGAGATGTAATTTCCGCCAAGTGCAGTCCGGTTAAACCGATGTCCGGATAAAAGGGAGTCCACTGTGGTTTTAACCAAATAATTTTACTTCTTAATTTTTTACAGAGTTAGTGTGCTGGATTAGCATAAGAACAAACAGTTACAAGTAATATGGTTAAAGACGTAATTAATTAATCCATCCTTAGTGATTTAAATTTAACATTCTCATCAATTAAATGAAAGAGTAAAATCACATTCTAAGGTAGTTACATAATCAACATATCAATGAAACGTGTTTGAAATTTGAACAATATGTGAGTATTTTTGTCCCGCTGGATGAAGTTAGTATTGCAGAATTATTACTTAATTCAATATGCATATTGTAGAAATATTCCATCTATATATGCATGGGATCAGCTGTAGTTCGTTTTTGGCACTATTTCAGTGCTGGCAACAAAATAGAATTGGGAGTCCTTTCATAGAGCGCTATAATAGGTCTGCGTTCACTAGAAATAACCAGAAGAGAGTGTCTACACTTTTTCTTTTATGAAAGAGGCTGATATTTCATGCTTAATGTGCTAGTAGGTGTTTTATTTACAATTCAATTAAAACAAATCCAATTGTGCTTATCACTAATTTATGCTACTGGCACGGAGGAATTTTCTTTCCCTCTGCACCCTTTCAAGATCAGATCATTGTTCTTTCAGAGATAAAATTTTGTAATTTTTGTATACACAACTACTTAATAATTTTTTTCCCAACAATAAATTAAAGTTCATTAAATTGGTCGCAAATTCGTTGCACTAATTGTAGAATGGGTTTCCGTCACAAAAAAAAACTCCTTGTATTAATAAAATACAACCGCCGCAATAAACTTGCAGACTAAGCAAATTTCCATTCACCGGAATTGATTTTCAATTAAATCTATTTAAATAACATTAGGTTTAAGGAGTTTTAAGGAGCATTAGGTTTAAGGAGCTCCGTAACCGAAAATATTGTAAAAAAATACTTTATTATACCAAATTATTTGTTATTTAAGCTCTTTAAAATGGTCTAGAGAGAAATTGGGAAATATTGTGTTTTCTGGGTCAAAAATGTGAAAAACTTATTTTTAACCCTTTGAAACTTAACCCATCTGTCTTTGATCCTTGAGCTCTTACTTCTGGCTACAAAGAAACAGCTGATCTTAAGTTTGTAAACTAATCTGGCCATGTTCTAAATTCCTTTCCTGAAGACAGAGCCAGTATTCATGCTACTCTAAAGAGGCATTCAATCAATCACTAATCTCACAATTTTTCATTCAAATATTTGAGTTCAAAAAAACCCCTTCGTTTTTGTATCCTTATTCCAAAAAAGTTATATAAGTTAGACAGATAACTAACAATTTATCATGGGAGTTCTACAACAAAACTTACTTGGAAGCCGTTGCAAAAGCAGTGACGATGGCTGGACCTAGACCGGAGTAGAAGGTGTATGGGTTTTTACCAACAAACACGTAGTAAATGAGCTGCAGGATGATCAGCTGATAGAGCAGGACTCCCGTGGCCATTGTGAGGATGAACCACGACAGTTGGGTGAGGGTCAAGCTAAGGTCGGCCACTGATACCATCTTCCCGCAGATGATACTGCCTACGCCCAGGGGGGTAAACCTGTGTAGACATTTCAATGTTTAAAGAACATTGTTGGCAAGTTTAGGTTTTTTAAGTGTCATTGCAGCAATTTTCCATCACAATAAAACAAACGTTTTAAAATTTCAGAATCTGGAAACTGGCTCTGTCTTCAGGAAAGCAATTTAGAACATGGCCAGATTAGTTTACAAACCTAGAAATGTTTCACCGCATCCCCTTATAATGAATACCATTGCTCCATCATAAATTACAAGTCAAGTTGTCACTTCCTGAAGTTTTCAATGTTAATCCATGTTGTGATGGGTGTTTAAAAATGGTAAAGAGTGAGACAATTCATTTAGGTTTAACCATAAACTCTTTTGAATACTGAAGTAGAGATCCCATCTTCCAGGTGTAGCTTTGTTGTACTCTAATCTAGAAGAGAAGATACTACTTAAAAATCTTCTTGTGTTTTTGTGGACGCCATTGGTGTTTTTGAAGCTATTTGGAAATGTCCAAAACTCTGTTCTTGTCACTCTCTAAACTTGAACTTTTTGTGAGATAGCCCAAAGAAAAATGGCATCTGAATACAGGGTGCATTTCATTTGGATTCAATTTAGCGACCTTCAGATTTGAAAGTAAGTGTTATAACCACTCGGCAACCCAAACAGCGTGTCTCATTCTTGATGGTATCTCTATAGCCAAAGGTTTTACAATATGCTCAACACAAAAACACCATCAGCTCTTTGAGAATCTGCACCAAAGGCAAGTTACACTCACCATATCGCTCCCATCAGCATCTTCATCAACACTTGGTAGATCACTGTGAAGAACTCTATCACAATAGCTTTCTGAGGTCCAATAGATCCAAGCACCGATCCAAAGATTATGCAGAAGAAAATAATTCCCAGGGTGTTGGTGCCATTCCTAAAAAAAAAATTTGTTTTTATCTACGTGATTGTATGACAGTGGTGTATTTTACACTTTTAATGAGGGAACAGGATATAAACCGTTGTTTGGAAAGTTTTACTATAATTTTTCTCTTACGGTTTTAAGAATGTCATCCTCTTAAGTTTTCTAAAAATACGTTTAGGTGAAATCACCATGATAAAACCACATACCTGAAAGAAAGCCTTCGCTTGGTTGGTACTGCAATATCTGAGACATTTACTACTTCAAGAGAAAAATTATCTGCATTTTGACCGGGCGTGTAATATTCCGTGTATGTCTGAAACATTCAGAAGAAGAAAATCAAAATCTTACAGTAAACACTATTAAACACATTTTCAAGATTTTCCCCTGAATTCAGACTTTATTTTTTAAATTACTGCACAGTGTTATGTTGACTATAACAGTTTTTTGTGATCAATATGAGTTGTAGGTTTTGAAATTTAAAAGTAAATTACAAAGGTACAGAACAACTTGACATACAATGTTACCTGTTCAAAAGCAGACTGAAAGATATTGTCAGGTACAAGATTTCTGGAACAAAAAATTATCAAAACACCATCATGCTAATTCCTCACAAAATCTTACAAATCCTAGGTTTTCAATTTATATTTATACACATGATTGATGGACAATATGGATAGTGAATAAATATTGGCGGGGTTTCTTGTATTTTATTTGTATCACACTTTGTGAGACCATGTAAGTTCCAAGAACCAAGAAGAAACTTAATATAGCAGTCCTATTTTCAGTCCCTAATTGTTGATAGGTATCCGTAGACTAAACAACACAAGTAGACTTCTAATCCAATTGTGAATTTTGAAGCTTGTTTTTTGTTAATAGTTCATGTTGGTGACACTGATCACTAGTGTCGATAACACTTGTTTCTATTATTTTAGATTTAATATAATGATTTATGCTTAAATGTTTGGGTAACAATGGGACGAGTTATCGTTTATGATTAGATTGGTTTATTTGGTTAAATGAGGTTTTAAATGACTGAAATAAGAAACAAACGGCAGACACCTCTTAAGCGCACCGAACGGAAGTAACAATAAAATTGTCTTCAGCTGATCCATAAGGGTGTTAAATCTACTAAGAGAGTATGTTTTATCCCATGGTATAACCTACTGCTTTCCTGTATCGCATTTGTGAATTACCGTAGTACAGTAGTAGGCCACTGTAGTACCTACCTAGGTAATCCACATATTTACACAACGTCCTAGGAAGTGTATGGTAAAGATTTTGACATTGAGTATTTTTTGCCAGTTACACGCTTGTATAAGAGTCTTCAACTGAAATAGGAACATTACCATGCATTAACAATACAGTCTTTTTGTGTTACCTAATTCTACACTTGAACATATGAGATATCAACATACCTGCCCATGTCTAAAAATCCATCCAGCAAATTGGTGTTTCTCATGTCAACAACGTTTGTAATGTTGCTGTGAAAGTCTGGACTTCCTGGATGTATAGTAATCACCAACAACTGAAAATGATCAAAAATTCTTTAAAACTTCTAATTAACATTGTGTCGTAATACAATTAAAAAATATTTAAGGACTAGCTGGTCCGACAAACATCGTCCTGTCCTAATGCGGTTTTATGTCAAATGTTTGTTCATTTTCAAAATGAGCTCGTTCGCATTGCTCAATCACTTCCTGGCTGAAGTTTGTTCGCTACGTTCACTCACCTTATGGTTGGAGCTTGTTCACTGCACTCACTCGCCTTCAGGCTTAGCTCGTTCGCTACGCACACTTGCCTCCAGGTTGAAGTGAGTGAGCTAATGTAAACGCAATTTTTTTGGAATTTTAAAAATCAAATTGCTAAATAATGGTTGGATTGATTATAAATTTCCTTACATAAAAACCTTCCCCTGGCACTAAGGATTATACAGATTGTTGTTGGGGCTGTCAGATGTATCTAATTTGAAAATGTTCTAAATCTGGCACTAACAGCACAAAACCAAACATTATACACATTATTTAGAATAATTTACTGAACTGACAGAATTGTCAATGCCTAGGAAGTTAATTTGTAATTAAAACTCCTTGACCCTTTACTTAAAGACTCCATCTACACAAACATATCTCTTCCAATTTCTTTTCATTTCTTGATTTCAAATTTTTGTCTTCCTTGTGCAAATATAAACTATAGTACGATTCGGTCACTGTGCAATATGCTATATTATTATTCTTATTCACATTTAGAAGGTATTGGCGTTTTAGAGACATGGTAAATCACGACTTTTTCAGAAGAGGGCTATACAACAGTTATTACTTTTCAGCCAAGGAAGAAATTTACAACCAAATGTTTGCAATTACAAAAGAATTATTCTTAGCTTGTGCTGTGCTTGCCAGCAAAATCAGTGTAGTAATTAGAAACACAAGGCCAAAATCTTTAACAGCATCGGCAATAGAGGGACTAATCCTCTAAACTTTTATTAAGCTTTAATAAGATAAACTCTTACCGGTACTTTTTACTTGCAATTATTTTACATAGATTGTAGATCATTCTTGTTATTTCAGTGTTATAATGTATAATAGAACTGTATCATATTTTAAACTCATTTATTATTGTTTAAGTTTTTGTTTCAAAATTTTGTAGTTCTTTGTTTTGAATCAAAGGTGCTAATATTTACAAATCTAATGTTTCTGTAGATATTTTGTATGTTTAATTGCTGGACATTAACCTATAATTGTGCTAAAATTTTCTGAAACATTTAGAGTGCTATTCTACATGACCTACCGTACCTAATGAGTTTCAAGTACGGTATTCTTGTAGACATTTATTGTTCCATTAAATTATTATCATTTAGGCCTAATGATAACTTATTATTATTTTATTTATTCTGCAAAGTAAAGTAGAGTTCCCAAGGGCACATAAACAGAAAAAAAACAGAACCCAAAAAAGATTTTTCTAAATGATTTAGAAAACATCTCTAAATGTAATCATGTCTTTCAAACTAGAGGGAATATATCAAGCCTGATTTATTTCAGTATTACTATAAGCTTACGATAATTACTAAATTTGTCATTGATATTTTATATGACTTACCAGTCCTAATGCCACATTTAGTGCTGAAGTTGATACAAAGTAAAGTATTGTCCGTGCAGCGATGCGTCCATTCTTCCGAACATTTATGGTGGCAGTTCCTATAAAATACAAAATTTGGTTGTTTTATAGTAGTTTACGCAACGATTGCGTTAAGTGAGTCTTTACGACACGAGTAGAAAATTTAAGGCACGAGCCTTGGCGAGTGCCTTAAAAACTTCTACGAGTGTCGTAAAGACTATTAACGCGAGTTGCGTACACTACTTTACCTACGACCGTTTTTTAATTACTATCAATCTGGATTTAATTACTAACAATCACTACTGATAACTTTTTAGAGAGGTTATGTTTTCGTGTATTGTCATTGCCACTGAAAGTGATGCAACGACTTGTTGTATAATCAGCTGATTTCCTGTAATTACGTGTTTGTTAAACTTCGTTAAATATTACATTGCTAGCAGCATTCTTACCATAAATAATATTGTATCAGGTACAATTCGGCAAATATTTAATTTATTTTTGGACTTCCACCAACTTAATTAAGAATACGCGAGTATCAACATGAACAAATCGGATCAACAATTAAATTGGTCAACTGATCAGCTGATCAGCTGATTAGTTGACGTTCGAAGCATTACAATTTTAATTCTTTTCTCTCAATACTTGAACCTCATTGGTCCGTTACCTGTGTGGATATGAGAAAACTATGCGGATATGAAAGTAAACAGCTGTAAAGTGAAACTTTTCAATTCTAAGAACTGGACTGAAATGGCTACTTTAAAAAACGGTCGTAGGTAAAAAATATTTCAATGCAATTTAAGTGACATGTGCTAGCCTGATTGGGGAAAATATTAATTCTAGTAGGTTGAATGGTATGAAAAAAAACATGTCTTGGTAAATTTGAAATCATATAGAGAATATAGGAATATATGATAACATATACCTTTTTATGGAGAAAATCAAACAAAAATAAGATATTAATACTGTACCAGCAATAAAAGTAACTTAACACAGAGTAGACCTACATAAGTACAGTAGTTATCAATAATAGCTATAGGGTGCATTAACCAAGTTTAGGCAAGTTTTTCTAAAACATATCTGTTACAATACCTGGTACAACACAAAATGTTTGAATGTATGTAAATTAATTATTTGAATCATTATCCAACTTAAGTAGCCTAAATATGAGGATCTAACATCCTAAAATGTTTTTATTTCATGTTCAGACTGGTCATATTATATTTTTCTTTAAAAAAGTACCAGTTGGTGAATATGTCTTTATAATAACGCTTCACAAATCCAGGAGTGTGGAGGATTATTTTGAGCCAATAACATTTCTTATACTTCCGTCAACTTAGTCATAGATGTTTATTTTAGTCTTTTATTATACTTGAATGAAATTACAAAACAATTGTTCATTAACCAAAACCAGAAACACCTCACAATGTACATGAATTAGGTACTGTACTCTATTCTTTGATTCATCATTAAACGATATCAATTATCAATTATTTAAGATGGAGACGCCGCTAGGTGCGTATTTTTAACCCAAATATTAGTGAAGGTTGAGTGGTGCGATCTTGTAGTCTTGTTAGTGACTAAGGCCGACATGTTCCTTAGACACAGGTGTTAATTAATAGCTGATACAGCCAATGGCAACTAAGGGACCTCCAGTTTATAGTGGAATCCAAACCACATTTTTGCCTTGTAATTAACTAACAAGAGGTTCTACCCGCGAATTCACGGGTGTACAGAAGCCACCATTAAATTAATTTAATCAACTTTGACTTTATATTTCATGTTAAGGGCCCAAGTTCGAAAAAAATGTCATCTGACAGGATTTTAAAAGCAGTGGAACCTTCATACCTTACGTCCTGAGGTGGCTAAGGTAGGTACGGTTGTACCTGAACTCGCACCTCTCTTTCACGACGTCTTTAATACTTTACTTTCAATGAAATGGCGACCTGTTAAAGATCGGTGACAACATCTTGGAACGAACAACATACGGTACATGGTTTGTTAAACTCATATTCATCGTGTATCGGACACCTTTAATCACTCACTTGTATCAAACAGCTAGAAATAGCTTCACTGTCCATTCACAGCATTTCTTTTAAGAACATAAAAGTAAATAATAAAATAAGTAAACAAAATTGTAAACAAACAAACTATATTGTCAATTGGATTGGCCAGCTGTTGTTCACTAAATTAATCGAATTACGTTAACTTCCAAAGCATGCAAGGCGTAGCCCTTTGGAAATCAGCCTGCGGGGCACAGCCCTAAAAAAAGGGAGTTCGTCCATATCAATACTTTTCGGCAAATCTACACTTTCTAAGCTTCATTTTGATATGCCATATGCCTATATTTTTATTTGGTAAATGACCTTAACCGTTTACATAAAATTTGATTGTATCACTTTAATAATATAATAGATTGGTCTAATTATCAGGAAAGCACTGCGGGTAGTCATAGTACTCTCTCGTGCGAATGTTAATCCACACCAGGGAGTATCGCATCCAAGGTGCATGCCTATCCACAATTAGTGACCCTAGTAGCTGGATTACAGTACGACGCCACCGTCCCAATCAGATTGGTTCAAATTGGTCAAGATCTTAAAAATATGAAAAAATCTATATAGTTTAAGAACACATGCTCTACCGAACTGACTATTTTAAAAACTCACCAATGATAAGGCAGGAAATTACGAAGGGAAGGATCATAAGCTTGAGGACTCTCATGAACAGCTCTCCAGGATAAGATATGAGGATTACAGTATCCTCACTCAATCCCATGGGTCTGAGGATCAATCCTGCACAAACAATACACAATAGAACTGTACCTTTTTGTTGCCTGCATCTTGAGTTAGTATTTTGTATTCACCTTAAGGAAATGTACAAAATTGCAAGAATGCAAGCTAGAAAAAAAGGTAATTGGTATACCATAAAATTCATGAAACTACAATAGGATCTCAAAGATCTCATCAGTGGCTCTTTAGAGGTTCAATAAACCGTGTTTTCATTGAGTAAAATTTTGACATCAGCCAGAATCCATATGGATTACCTGTGGCATGCATGCCAAATTGCTAGCTCAACTTAATCAGAAATACTTGATTTTGATTTGCTCTTGACTTAGTCTAGTGTGGACAGTGTGGTCTTGACTAGTCGAGGTACTGCCATAGATAACACACTCCCTCAGTATATTTCTCATCCTCAGAAGACAATTTTATTGTTAGTTCTGTCCGGTGCACTGTAGAAGTTCTGTTTGTTTACAATTTGTTTCTTGCTATTTCAATCATTTAAACTCTGTTTAACCAAATAAAACTATCTAATAATACCGATCAAATCATAAACAATAACTTGTCCCCTAGTTATAAAACCAAACAGTACAGCACAAATCGTGAAATTAACCCTAAAATAATAGAAACAAGAATAAGACACGAACAACGAGCTTCAAAATTTACATTGGGATGAGAAGTCTACTTGTGTTGGATAGTCTAAGTGACTGTATTATAGGTTTATTCATTTCATTGACTCAAATTCTGGCAACAGCTGTTTCATATAAATTACCTATATGGCAGGCTGCATGCCAATTCGCTTGCTCAACTGGATCAGAAAATCTTGATTTGCTCTTGACTTTATCATGGAGTCTTAAGAGGTTACTTTGTCCATTGTCTACTTCAGATTATAAAGTTGATGGTCCATTGGTACAATTAAATTAATAATTTACCAAATCTGGAGAAGCAAAGTGAGTGTTTTAACCCAACTATGAGTGAAGGATGGTTGTAGAACATCGATGGTGTAGAATGGAGGGATACTTTGTGTAGCTAGTTTTCATAAGATTAGCTGTTTCTTTGGAGGACATTAGTGAAGATTTCAGTTCCTATTTGAGTTTGTTTAACACCTTCATGGAGGTTGTTGAATATTTTTGTACCAAAATATCAAAGAAAAATATTAAAATATAACTTTTCTGGTTTTAAAGTAATGATCCAAGGCCCCAATAGTTTTTCTAGTGGCGCCTTGAATGTTCCCTGCTTTTAGTTATGTAGCTGTTATGTATCCTGGCCTGTAAATATGAGGAATATTTCATTTAACTTATTAATTTATCATATGGTTTTGTTTTTGTTATTGTCTTTGTGTTATATCAATTTTGTAAATAGAAGTGTGGAATAAAAATGTTTAGTTTTTCCGATATAGTTTTATTTGCATCACTGAAGAAGAGGTAGGTGAGTAGTAAATTAATAGCCATCAATTTTACTAGCTCTTGCACCAGTATATTTGAATTGGTAGTTCCCCTTTATTTAACAACTGCAAAACAAATCACTAAGCTTTTGTTGAACCAGTATCAAAGAAAGAACACAAACATCATTACACCTTCTCATTTGCCAATGATAAGCTCAAAACCTAAGATGTAGGTCAGGGAAGATGACAAACTAAACCACCTTAAATTAGAGATGTGCATGAATGAAGCAGGGAGAGTAATTCTAAGGTGTGTTTCCAGTGATGTTATGTTGAGGCAGGCGGTAGGCTCATTCATTATCATTATGAGACTTCATTGCCTCATCCTTTCACTTTTGCCAACTTGTGCCAAATTGCAGCCATTATAATAACACATTAGGTTTGTCTGATCAGGGAGCTCTTTGAAGTGCCAATATACTTAGAGCGACAGATTTATAACTTTCACACTTCAACACCAACTTGTGTTTTCATTTTTTAAATCAGTGTCCTAGAAAACAGGCATAATATTTCAGCCTAGAATGATAAGTTTACTGCCAGAGTCCAAAGTCAATGTTAGGTATCTACTCTTGGTATGAGTATGTGTATGTGTGAAATTAAAAAAAATGGGTTCTTTTTTAATGACCGAGTTGATGAATTTTTCTCAATGATTAAATAAAAACATGTTTAAACATTTTTACAAGGCTTGAATAATGATACCTTTTACAGCTTTTACATATTATTCATTTTTAATGACTGTAAATGGGCGATTTTAAATAATTGAGTATGATTTATACTGTATATCACAGATAAAATAAACTATATATTCCAATGTTTCATTTCAAGTGTACACTTAATTAAACTTATCCATCCAAGACAATGATAATATTGTAGCCTACAAACTATTTCCAAAAATATTGATATTTGATGATAGAAATGAATAAAACAATATTATTTATAGAGCTATTAGAAATTCCACTCACGTAAAGGGGTGTTTGCATTGGAGGTGGTTGAAACTTAATTAAGGTCGTGTATGAGGCTTCATGATAAAGCAAAGCTCAGCAAATACTTTTACTATTTAACTGAAGTAACTTTGTTTACACAAGGAGATGGTTTGGATAGAAATTGTATATTTTACTTAGCATTTTAAAGCAAAAGGAATATGAAGTAATAATGTAATACAAAATTAATACATTGAGATTTAAGAAGCAAAATCTATCAATTGATTAGTCTAAAATAACTTCTTGGTTAGCATTTTACATGTTGGTGCTGTATGAACATTTAATCAAATATGTCTTCCAAAAATTAGTTGACAATGCGGTAATCTATGTCCTGATGATGGCCACTGTGACTACATAGTATAAATCAGTCACTTTTAAAACAACTTTGAGTACATGTTTACTACATTATAGACATGTTTATAACATTTATCATTTATTTAATATTTTGTTAACAAAACAGGCTAATCAGAATTTATTTGATAACGTATTTTAGCATATCTACATGTAAAAGAATTAATAACCTACCACCAGCATTAGTAAGTGGCCAAATTTTAAGCAAATGTTTATTTTTCTAAAAATATTAGTTGAGAATGAATACAAACAAACAAAACCAGTACACCAGCACGAATAGAGCAATATAATCACTGATTCTAAAGGGAAAATATTAGGTAAAACCATGGCTTGTAAGTGCAAGGTTTTTATTAGAGAGAGAATATGGTTGCCCAAAGCCAATATTGACTACTTTATGAGGGTCCTGGCTAAGGTAAAGGAACCTTAAATATTTCTTGTTTTGTTGGTTTTTCCTTGGTGGTTTCTTTAAGATGTGTAATTATCTTGTAAGACTGAAATTAGTACAGATATTGATTCCTTGTTCTACTGTTCGTAATATAATAGCACAAAGGATATTGGATATTTAGTAATTTCAATTAAGGCTTAAATTAACACATTTTTTGTCGCATGTTTAAACACCATGCAAATAAAACAGTGAACCATGTAACATTTTGTAAAATGTAAGTCAACGTCTAATAAATAAAAGATAATAAAACATGCATTTGTAATTATAGTTTAGTGCATGTCTACCAATTTTAATGGTTAACATATTTCATTCTTGATAGTGAGATAATTTACAGAGGATGATGTGGATAAAATTGTCAGATTTGCTTGTATTGATAGAAAATTATTTACTTGCATTTCGACTGAAAAATATATTGTAGCCTATAACAAGTTTAAATCTGCAAAAAATCATTAGATAATTTTGTTTTAATTATGTGATCATAAATAACCATTAGTTCATTAAAAAAATTAATAGATGGTATTAAAAAAACATTAGATTATACAATTATAATTAGATATATTTTTTTTTAATCATTAGATCATTTTGAAAAAAATATTTGATTTAGTTTTAATGAGGTAACTTTAAGAGAAACAAAACCTTTGAATAAATAAACAACATATTGCTCCAATTACATGTACAATAAAAGAATTGTACTTCTTTTAGCGAATTTCCCGTTAGGAATAGGTTATTGCTGTCTTAGACATGACTTTGTCATCTTATAAAATCTACGAGATGGATGTTTAATGTAATGGTGATAACGAATTTAGAATACTTTGGTCTAAAAAAAATTGGAAATTTCATATAGGCTTAGTTCATTCTTTTTGCTAAACTATTTACTAGTGTGTCAAATTCTTTCATTTCAAACTTAGGTCATGGTGTAAGATTGAGAGGTAGGTTCTCACTGAACATTCAGTTATATTTCATTCATAGACGGACTGGCAGTGGGACACTACCATTGCCAACATTGTAAGTGATGGGTGAGCAAAACCATTTGTCATGTCCCTACTTGTAACAATAAATAACAAAACATGCCAACTCATCAGACAACCACCTTGTCCAATACAGGGGATTTGGAAATAATTCAATAGTTTTAAAACTTATATTGGTAAACCTGGTAATGGTTATTGCACTTGAGGGCGCCAATGTTTTGCCATAAAAAACACTTTCAACAAACTGCAACTTTATTGTTGCAAAATTATGAAGAGGACCATTCTTGTTGTAGATTATGCTTTTGATATATTTAGCTCTAAAGTAAACAGTTTTCAAAATATTTCCTAAAACCAAAATACCCCCGTCGCAGCAAACCTGCATACTAAGCGAATTTCCATTTACCCGGCTTGATTTCTACTAAAATATTCCCTATAAATTTTCAGATTTATTTCCTATTTAAATAACATTAATTTTAGTGAGTAGTTAGGTTTGCTGCTACGGGGAAGATGTTGAGGTGTGTTTTTTTCAATTGAAATATTGATAGCTTAGTATGAAATAAACCAAATTGCCAAATTTGATTAAAATATATCTTTAAACAAGCAAACTAGAACAGTTTATTTATTCTCCATAAGAATAACATAGGCATTTTAAATTTACAATTTTTTTAATTTTCTCCGTAGTCAATGAACATTCAAAAACACTTCAATATACTAAATTATTTGTTTTTTTAAGCTCTTCAAAATGGTCTAGAGAGAAATTTAGAAATTTAAAGTTTTTAGGGTCAAAAATTAGAAAAAACCATTTTTACCCCATAAAACCCCCCATAAACCCCTGATCCCATGGTCCGATTATGCTGGTTCGCAAACTCGTTCGAATAAATGTAGGTTTACACGTTTGTACCAAATTTAATCAAAATCGGATAAATTTTGCTCGAGTTATCGCGCTAACGGACACATATATAAATATATATATATATATATATATATATATATATATATATATATGAATTTGAACGGATGGTGTTTTTGACCTCTGGGGACCTCAAAACGAAAAAGTTAATCGGTCCCGGGTCTAGGTCTTACCGTGAGACCTACGGTAATAGCTTATTCCCTATATGGGAAATTCGCTAAAACTACAATTTTTTCAATTGTTACCCTCGTTTTACACAAGCACGACTCATAAAATGGTGTACCTTTTTACCAAATATTAGGGGACTATAGAACAGTTTGGAGTCAAAGGTTAGCTTTCACTTTGGATGTTGAGGTTAGGCCTTTTTTGGCTAATTGTACGTTCTGTACTAAATGGAAACAATCGATGTTTGAGGTTTATGTCTAATTGCACCGTACTTCATGTTGTATGTGAATCTATATAAAATCATTTTAGATATTATATCAAAATAAGGGGTTTTTGACATGCTAAAAGCTGGATCAGTTGAAAATAAGTACCGGTACTTTTTGACGACATTGTCTATGTTATTAATGAATAATCATTGTAGTCAGTAATCCAATAAAAATTCTAAACTGGACTCATTTGATTTTTAGTAAGGACAGCAAAAAACAAAAAGCTCTTTAACCTACAGACAGGAACTTACATATGAAACATCCCCACTGACAATAATCCATGACTTATTGAACTGGAACATTAAGGCTGCATAGCATTTATCCATGCAAAGTCGATCAAAACTCACTAACCTGTACTGAGGCCTCCGAGGACTCCTGCGGCGGTGGCTATCAGGAAGAGGTTGTCTTGGAGCCATCGTCGCAGACACGAGCCTGACCACTGGCTAGAGGAGCTGGACATCTTGTCTAGCCGGTGGGGTGGAGCCCTAGGCAACGACATGCCGAGGCGTGCTCAGTGGAAGGGTAAAACTAAGCTATTAATAAAGTCTCTGAGGAGGCAATGTCTCCCAAGCGACGAAACGTGAGTACAATGTCAATAAGATTACACTAGAGATATAAGTGGGATGTGTTTTTCATGGTTAAAACAAACAACTCACTTAGTGCCCTCTCAATTTAGTAGGACTAAGTTTAATTTCGGTTCAAGTAACATAGTGTTGTGTACAAAGTAAGTTAAGGTAGAAATTAAAAGTAGTTATAAGTATGTAATTGAGGCTATATCAAAGATTAGGCCGTCGAATCGAATAAATTTTCATCCACTTATCAACTATGAATAATTAACAAAAAGATAATGCCAGATAAATTATGAAAATGTTAACCCATGAACTTACATGGTTGAAGGAAAAAATAGTCGAATCAATACGTATAGAACGTAAAATTTTGTATGACAATAATACACGAAATGATAGTATGGTTAACGATACCAAAACAGCTGATACAACAATGGGCCCAGCTGATTGTAACTAGCACGGTACATTGACTAACTGTATCCACTATGCCTGCGTACACCTGACTGAGATGTTAGCTGTTTGAGGGTTTAGGGTGGTATCTAAGCTCCCGCCCAGTTTCAACCCATATCGACCAACCACCCTAAACCCTCCAACCATGACTATTGTTGTGTACCATATGCGATGCAATTAATTGGGTCAATTTTATATGCTTTTGGCATTATTTTTTATGGCCATACCGTTATTGAATTACAGTATTAGTACAAACATACTGTAATCTTTTCTTTTTAAACGGTAGTGTCTGGTATATTTAAGAGTTAGTTAAAATGACATTGTTAATTTTAAGACATCATCAAAACCTATAAAACGTTACAATTACGTATTTTAAGCTTAATATGAACTTAGACCAGCCATTTCTTTAGTCAGGACCATTTTTTAACCCCCATTTATGAAGCAAGCTTCGAACCGACAAAAATATTCTGACGTTTTTGAGGATCGAACCAGCAATCTTTTGGTAGCAAGGCGAGCACTAATCTCCCAGCTACATATGAATATTTGATGAGACTGGGATGAGTGAGATATTTGGTACAGCTCTGTCAACAAATCATGATAATGGTTAGCATCTTCCTGTTACCTCTGCCTGTTTCGCCTGTAACATTGATAGCCTTAGTGACTGGTTCATAATTAGAATATGTCTTTTTTTATCGTCACTCTTCCGCCACTTTATAAGTTGTACCTAATCGTGCAACACCTTAATTTTACACGTAAATAATCGTATTAGTAGGACAAGTATAGATTCAAACGTAGGTAGGACGGCTATGTTTAGCAGAGAATTAACAAGATAAAAAAAACAGTACAAGAGTATCTGTGTACATTAATTCAAATCAATTACCGTATTTAGGCTAGCTTTCTCTTGGTTTATTTTGCATTTGTTATCCCTCGATAAATCGATCAAATTTATAAGATTCAGATATATTTCACAATTGTTATAGAAAAAGTCTTATACAGAAGAATCCTAACTTGAGTGCATGCATGCACTAAAACGAACATGAAGTCTGAAAAACAATAAATAGTAAACTTACCGTACGTTTTTAGTAGACTTTTTAAAACGTTAAAAACACTTTCGATAACAAAAAATGTGTCTGAAATGAGACTACTGTTCTTGATTTTAGCCCAGCAGCTCATGCAGTATTGTGCTTCAATAAAATTAGGCAACTTTCAAAGCTAGAAATGATATATTAAATATTTGTTCAATAGTTAAGGCAGTCACATGGTTCCTAAACCCACTTCACACTTTATGCGTTACAAAGTCTCACAAAGCGAAGCGTCTCAAATGCATTACATTTTGTTAATCGGAGTTCTGACAAAAAGTCGATTACAATATGTAAATAAGGGCTTCTAAAGGGCGACGACCTCTTGTAAGCAAATTAAAAGTATAAAAATTCACTGAAACTATGAATAAATTAATAGTGTTCCGCGCAAGTTAATGATCAAACATCTATGTATAAAGTTTTAAACGCTGTGCAGTTTGGTTTCCCTTGTTTTTAAAATACACTAACTAGTTACCATTACTCATTCATGCAGTTCTGTACATTCGTAATACGTACACATGACAGAGTCATCAATTTGGTACAAAATGGTTTATTACATTTTACTACAATACAATTTCATAAATTCAAATTGTGAGATGGACATAATGTTTTAAAGTGCAACGCCATTTATCTAAAACAGATATGAGTATGATGGATTCAGTATGGATTAATGTTATTTCATGTTAACGTAAACCCTTATAATTGTCTGTGTAGCTGTGCTGTGTGGTTATAGTCAAGACCTCACTAGGCATTTTAGTGCGCTTGTTTCATGTACTACCGCTCTTCTCTTGCCTGTTTAATTGATTATCAGTATATTCAAATTAATTTCATCCATATTGCATGAAGTATAGGCACCTGATTAATACAAATTCTTAAGTCTTGATTGTATAGTGCTTCCCTTCAAATCCGAAGGCTGCTATAATGATTGGCCCCGAGTGAGATTGATTTTAGACTCAGCCAAGTAGTTTGTCATTGTGGCTAACAATTAATGACGCAAACCAACCAAAGGTCGATGCTAATTATTAACAAAACCACGATTTTGACTTTTCCCAAAAGAAAAAAACGTTAGTAAATGTCCATAGCGTTAAAACACAAACACAAAAAGTTTCTCAGTAACTTATCCAATTAAGCCATCGGTTTTATTGTATACTGCTTAACGTTCAAAATTGAACCTCAAAACGTTGATCTTCAAAATTAGACATAAATACAGGGTGATTGATATAAGTGTGCCAGCCGTTTTATTCGAAAACCATAAGAGATATAAAAAAAAGTTAAATGGTAAGTGCCTTGGATTTTTTATTTAAAAAATTATAGTCAAGTCAAAAAAATTATTTTAGCCACCATTTTTCCAATATGGCCGCCAACTTTGATTTTTCTTATGGAACACCCTGTATTTCATGATGTATTCTGGTAGAAAATGTAATTTTAAGACGATTTTATTCTTGTAATTTTTTTCATAAACCTAACCGTTTCAAAGATAATAGTGGTTTAAGTTGTGAAATTTTGAATGGTTTTGGAATAAAACAGCTGGCATGCTTGCTAAGGCCTTTATCGAAACTCTTTCTCATGCAGAAATTTCAAAACTTTAACCATTGTTATCTTTGAAACGGTTAGGTTTATGAAAAAAATTACAAGAATAAAATCGTCTTAAAATTACATTTTCTACCAGAATACATCATAAAATACAGGGTGTTTTATAAGAAAAATCAAAGTTGGCGGCCATATTGGAAAAATGGCGGCTAAAATAATTTTTTTGACTTGACTACAATTTTTTAAACAAAAAATCCAAGGCACTTACAATTTAACTTTTTTTGATATCTCTTATAGTTTTCGAATAAAACGGCTGGCACACTTATATCAATCACCCTGTATAGTGCGAAAAACACTAGGTACTTCCCTATAAATTAAAACTGTGCGCCAAAGAGTAAGGCTGGCTGTAGGCCTACTATAATCTGTGCAAGGAAGCCCACTTTGTCGAGTGACTGTAGGAAAATCCATTTTTTATGACAACTTGTTTGGTCATGAGCAAGGCTACTCAATTAACATCGGTCTTGTATAGGCTGAAATTCAATATGGATACTGATGATAAAGAAACTAGTAGTAAGCCGGTTTAAAGCTTGATCATCAAAGCTTGCTTTAGAGTACGGTACTAAGCTTGTTAGGCCTATTAGCGTGTTATCGTAAGACTGTTTTAAGCCTGATTCTCAGACTTGGGATCTGGTTTGAAAACTCAAGCTTATTACAAGTAGAAAAATTGTAAACTTCGAAGCTTAAAACAAGCCAAATTTAAACTTGTAAGCTGGTTCCCCAAGCTGAAACTAAGCTTGTTGCTCTAAACCTTTGAACAAGTTTGGAATATTGTATGTTTGTTGAGTGTGGGATAATCATTTATGAAGATTGCACAATGTGTACTGACTTTTGCTTTCTTGAGAGATAGGACGTGCTATCCAAAACTAGCTAAACCTGTACAAATAAACAAGCAAAACATTCTCCAAAATGTTGGATTTTAATCTGTCGCCTTGAGTGGTTAAGCCATGTCCATAGACAATACAAACCGTATGTGAGCAGTAATTTGGCAATAATTCTAGTCTAATTGAAGAAGTTGGGCAATATAGCAGAACATTGTGCCAGAACTCAACCCACCGATTACAATTAGCCTAACTATTGAATGTTCAACAGTAAGAATTTCCTTATGCATGATGTTATTTGTAATGCACAAGTCCTTAGTTGATACTATATTTTCGTAATTTAAACTGTCTTATTTTTGCTCTCAATTAACCAATGTAAGCATGGATCGAATTAAAGTTGAAGCAACACAATGCCACAATTCGGCCTGAAAACTTCAATTTGTTTTATCCAAAGTCGATGATTTTACTCCACTAGGAAACAATGTGATTCATTGGATTTTCAAACCACGAATAACAAAGGACGGGAAATGTTTGTTTCGACTTCTAGGAAGAGTTGATTGATCTATTTTGTGGATAGATAACTAAAACCATATTGTAGTTCCAATAAAGCTCTGTGCTCATCGGATTCTATTGCTTGGAAAACCCAGTCGCAAACAACGAAGGTGGCATTCAACAATGATTTAGTGTGACAAGCTATTTCATCAGCAATGCAGAAATTCAACAGAGAAACGACGCATATTTGTACACGGAAGTCCAAGTTAGAGGAAGAGTGGTCTAAAACCAAATGAATCTCAAATATCAATAAGTCGTTTACATTGTGTTCTAAAGACAGTTATAATGTTTCTGGTTTAAAAATCCACACGATAGTGTTCTAAATGAACCAAAATAAACATACGTTCCCTCAGCAAGACATTATTCACGATCGAGCTGAAGAGCATTTCTCTTGTGGCTAAATATACAGCAACTAATTATACCAACTACTAATCATACGACAAACATTAGTGAGCTCTGTGTGGTTAGCAAAATATGCCACAATATTGTCACAAACCAGAGTAGATCAGGTGTGTAGTCGAGTTTTTGGTTAATTTGTTTCATAAAAGTAAATAAACACATCGACAATCATAAGAAATTTGAACAAATTATGAGATAAGTGCCATAATTTCACCAATCATATCTGTAGCTCTTGTCTATTGTTTTTTTTATTGTTTGTTTTTGTCATGGAGATTTTTTATTTGTTGCATAAAAAATACACGTAAGTTGTAGCATTGTTGTTGTGATGCAAGTGGACCTTAGTGCCTAAACATTAAAAAAATCCTTTTAAATTACTTTCATATGACAAAACTTAATTTATATTTTTTCAACATGAGAAACGGTTATGATTTATTAAGACAAGATAAACCATTGAAGGTAACTCAATGGTCCTGGCTTCCAAATCAGCTGATCTATGTCTCAAGCAAAAATGATACACTTCATTTACAAGTTTATGCACTCATAATTCCACTAATTTTAACCATAAAATACACACAAGTATGTCCTTGTCCAAACAAAAGTTGTCTTTATCATTGGATGTTAAATGAATAGTACTATAGTCGGGGCCAGGTTAACGCTGGGCAGACCCGCAGGCCATAAAACCGATAAGACCCTATTCAGCCCGGTCCTCGCCACCGAACCCTATTATGCCGCTTCGCTGGGC